CAGGCCTATGTAAAAATGCATATCTGCCTGCTCCATATATGAATATCCTACCATTGTTAAACGAGACACTTCTCAATTAACTCACTACTACATTCGTTAAACGTTGAAGATAGACTAGCTTCAAATGTACACGAATGACAAATGTATCATCGTCTACATGGCAACGTAGCTCCATCTGCCGTAAACTTTCTTTAAAATGAATAACTCAAAATTAAAGGATTTGCGGACATATGTTTATTTGGATTTTTGTCCTTGTTTTACGATGAGGAACACGCCTCCAAAATTTGTAAAAATATTTTTGATACACCCTATATGTGTATATATATATATATATATATATATATATATATATATATATATATGGTAAAGGTAACAAATCCTTTGGTATATAATCCAAGTAATTCCTAGTAATATAAAATATTCAAATTGATCCATAAAAAGAGCTGAATATATTTATCATTACAGAGCAAATAATTAATAAAATACAATCCCAAATCATCTTATATAGGCTATTCCCCATATGAGATGATTTGGGGTTTTATTTTTATTTTTTATATATATATATATATATATATATATATATATATATATATATATATATATATATAACATACGGAAAAAATAGAAAAAAAATAGAAATATAACCATTTAAAATCAGAACCCCCTGAAGAATGGTTGGCACTAAGAAACTTCAGTGTCGGAGACGTAACAACTAAAAAGGATTTTATATGTACATTTAAGCTAATTTTAATATTATTAATGCTCTATTTTTAATATTTTTTTAATATAGAGGATTATATATAAAAATATCAGCTCATAATATATATATATATATATATATATATATATATATATATATATATATATATATATATATATAGTAAAGGTAATAAATCCGTTGGCAAACAATCGATGTGGATCCTAATAATGTAAAATATTAGAACTGGTCCACAAAAAAAAGAGCACAATGTATTTATTATTACAGAGCAAACAATTAATACACAATAAAATCCCAAATCACCACATATAGGAAATAAGCTGGTTATGGTAGAGTCCATACCGAGATTGATAAGACAGATGATTTATATTTTCGGCTGCTGAAATAAGTTTATTCCTCATATGAGATGATTTTGGATTTCATCGTTTATTAAATATATATATTGGGTAGCAGTTCATATTGAGGAATCGGAGAGCCACGTACGAATTCCAGTCGAATCCATTACATTCATTTACGTGCTAATACTCTTGGGAAAGGTGTTTATCTTCTCCCTCCAAAGCAGGACAGACTGGGTTCTATAGCTTTGGATGGAGAAAGACAATTCTGCATTTAAGACCTCCGGAGGGTCGTTTGGGGAGCATGTGGCTGTAGAGCAAAGAGGCTCTTTATTGGACCCTTCAAAAAGTGTGGTTGGTTCTGCAACCACACTTTTTGAACACTTTTGTGCACAAAGATTTCTTCACTTTAAGCGAATCAAATGTGCTTGTGTCTGGGCTGCCGGTTCCTAGGAACTGAGTTGCTTGACCCTCATACGTCGAATACGATGGGGAGAATCCACTATATATATATATATATATATATATATATATATATATATATATATATATATATATATAATTTAAAAAAATAGACCCTTTAAGGCTCTATTAGTTATTTATTTCACCAAAGATTTTATTTTTTCTCTGGATCTTCAGACTTCACTTTCAAAATGAAAGTCTGAAGATCTTTTAAAGTGAAGTCTGAAGATCAAGGAAAAAATAAAATCTCTGGTGAAATAAATTATAACTAATGGAGCCTTAAAGTGGTCTGTTTTTTTCATCCTCATTGGGATTATTATCCATACGGATTACCAAGATTTTCGTTACTTAACTATATATATATATACATATATATATATATATATATATATATATATATATATATATATATATATATATATATATATATATATATATATATATATATATATATATATTATGAAATGGACAAAGTCAAACAATTATTTTAAGACATTTTTATATTTTAACATTCTTTTATACATACAAATATTTGTAAATGCTCTGTTTATAATAAACAGTATTAAACAACATTTACCGGCCTTAATGTGAAAATTCCTCGGACATTCAGGCCGGTAAATGTTGTTTAATACTGTTTTATTATAAACTATTTACTTAAATATTTGTATCTATAAAAAGAATATTAAAACAAAAAATATATATATATATATATATATATATATATATATATATATATATATATATATATATATTTCATTGATAAATATAATTCTGTGTGTCTGTTTCTGTGCGTGCACACGCGTCTTTGTGTGTGTCTGTTTGTCCGTACACGATTTCTTAAGGTGTGGTTGGCATGATTGCACTGTTCAGAAAATTGATGAAATCGCATTCAAACTATACCCGAAGGCAATTTTCCCGCGTTTTTCACATTTTTACTTTCACTTTAACATTCCTGCTTCGCCTCGATTTTAGCGAATTGTTTTATATTGCTTTCTTCGTAGGGCTCCGTTTTCGTTTTGATTATAACCTAATCAATCTAAATAGAGCTTCAACTACCAACCCTCACCCCATCTCGCCCCCTCACGGAATCCGCCCCCATCTACTACGAATCAGTGTGTCAGCATTTCCGTTTTTTTTTTTTTTTTTTTTTTTTTTTGTTTTAAATATACTCAACCTGTGACTTGATCATGGAATCGGGCTGGTATTGTAATAATTGTGTGAAGCAGAAGATGTAAAAATAATAGTAAATAAAAAAATAAAAATAAGGTAGAAACTGGAAAGAATTCGTTTAAAAAAAAAAAAAACACCCGAAAGAATTTAAAGGAAAAAAACAAAAAAAAAAAACAGAATTAAATCGTGAGAAACAATTCGATTAGTAGAATTTAATTATATACGCAATGTCAAATCACATAATGCTCATTATTCGCTTTTAGCCAACGTCCCGGCTTTTTTATTCGCTTAATTAAGAAAAAGTAGTCACCGTTTGTTTGGCGGGGTGAAATAAATGTTAATGCTGTTGTCGTTAATACGAAAATGGAAACTTTACCTCTTTGTTTTCCGATGCGAGATATTCTGCTAAAACTGAAGCCATAGACAGGTTAAGAAGTTAAGGCTGCTTTTCTTAAATGATTTAGGATGAATATAAAAATAAGTACTTTACAATGTAAATAAAAGTAAAAACGTACCAGCAAAAAGCTACTTCCAATACAGACTTTATACGGCGCGAAAGTTTAGGCTTGTATCAATCAATCGCACATTGATTTTACCGAGAGTATCAAACCTTCAATCGCCCCTTGATCCACAAAAGGATAAAGAAAAGAAAAGTTTAATCTTTCTTATGTAAAACGGTTTTATATCGGATCTTTACTCTTGTATACATCACTGTTGAACCCGAAGAATTGAATTAGTTGACGAAGTTATTGTGTTCCTATACCGAATCATATAGATAAATATATACTGGTTGCTAATACAAACATAATAGAACCATCCACATGTAAAAAGGACTAAAAATAATGGAAGCAAAAATCAACACTCAAAATTACCAACTATGAACACGGCCACAATGTGCTGACCGTGTTTTGAAAATAAAATTTCCTATAACTCTAGATACATATATAAAATGATCCATAGATACCGTCAAAAGTAAAAATAAAAATGAAAATAAAGATTATTCTTGATAAGAGCGAAAAATATAGTCAAAAGCGTTTGGACATACACAGCACATTTAGACAATCTGCATAATTAATGTCCAGAAAAGATAAAAATTGTAAAAACACAAGAAAAGTTAAATAAAAAAAAACTCATCCTCATTACCTTGTCAGTCGTTTTTAATGAAACTTGTACAGGGTGTCCCAAATGTCACATTGCCATCGATAAACTTTGGAATTTTTTTTATTTATTTACCAAATGAGATAATGTTTGTCTATGTCAGTATATTATTAGAGAATTTTATTGGTTGAATTATGGAAGAAGATGTCACACAAATTTCCTCTGTTTGCTATTTCACAAGTGTCTGTTTTCTTCCAATTGCTGGATGAGTGTTGAGACACCCTGTATAAAAGGTGATTGTTGCATATATATATATATATATATATATATATATATATATATATCATACTTATTATAAAACCCAGGTTGTGTGTGTGTGTCTGTACGTTTATATATTGGATCGGATTTCCTACATTTTTCATGTTCTGACAGCACCAAAAATTGGAAAAACACAATTATTTGTGCACGGAATCAATTTGAAAACATGATTAAGAGGCATCGCGAGAATGAAAGGGGGACAACTCATATCGAGTTATACTTATTATAAAACCCAGGTTGTTTTGTTGTGTGTGTGTGTGTTCGTTTATATATGGGATCGGATTTTCTACATTTTCAACCGATTTCAACAAAACTTCACTTTTTTGGCAGGTAGTGTTTCTTATTGTCTTTGCACACTTTTTTTTTTTTTTACATTCAGAATGCTTTAAAAATTCCATTTACAAGACAATTGTTTATAATAAAATTCTATTCAATCGGTAGACTCATAATGATTGAAAACAATGTTTTTGTTTGAGTTTGACCAATTCGTAAAAAAAAAAAAAAATAATTAAGACATGCGTGTCTGCCAACCTTAAACAATAATCTTTGTCAATTTTATTTTTCAGTCTTTATGATGGTCAATACTTGATCTATCTCTTACTGTTACATCCCCGGGCAACGCCGGGCTCTGCTGCTAGTATATATATATATAATTGTTTATTCGAAAATTGTAACATAAATATGTTATAAAATCACTACAAAAATAGCCATTTTGTTTCAACACTTCCGGTGTCTTATCAAGCGATAGTGTTGAATGTAAAATAAAGGGTTTTAAAAGGTTCAAATCAATCAAACACCCCTCACCAGGGGAAACGCTGTTACATAAGCTGCAATGACCAATCCAAATACAAGTATACGAGAATTTAAAAACCTTGAATTCTCATATACTTGTATTTTACAGTCAAGTGAGGAGGGCGGCCACAAGTCTGGCGACCAGTGGTTAGGAACACTGTTGAGCAGCCACGACTGGGTCGTTTCGGCCTTGTGTGCAGCGACGGGGACGTCATGCCTCTGTTCTTCTTTCAAAAGGGCCTGAGAGTCACCGCTGAGATCTACCAGGAGGTGCTGAGAAGCGTGGCGAAGCCTTGGATGGACGAGATCGCCGCCGGGCGCCCCTACGGCTTCCAGCAGGACTGATAAAAGAGATTTGCGTTTAGACATCCATTCAAACTCATAAGCCATAACTTTGACTTTACGATTGCTACACTAATTAAAAAATAACATAATTCTGTACTTATAGAGCCTACCAATAACAATGTTACCAAATATATACACACGTCAAAAACATTATATTACATCACTAACCTATACTGAATCTAATGTATGTTTATGTAAAACAAACGATATAGACGTAGAAAAACCAAATTTATTGCGAAAAACTAACAGACATAAGGTGTACTACACATAAATACACACTTACAAAAATACATTATCATCTGAATTCCACATAGACAAACTAGAATTATTATACACTGACATAAAGCAGTATTTACGGGTTTTCAGGCAGGCTTGGAATTCTTTAATTTCTTGAGACTTTGGATGGATGCGTGGAATGAACGTGAATCCTGATTAACCAATGAAAATCAAACAAGACAAAAGTAAAAACGCCAGAATTTCTTTCTTTTTTTCTCCATATTTCATTCTCTGATGAAGCTTTAATAAAACTAAAACACGTTAGATTGATAAAGGTAACCTATTTGTTCAGGTATATATATATATATATATATATATATATATATATATATATATATATATATTTGTGTGTGTGTGTGTGTGAGAGAGAGAGTGCGTGTGTGAGAGAGAGAGTGTGTGTGTGTGCGTCTGTGTATGTGTGTGTGAGAGAGAGTGTATGTGTGAGAGAGAGTGTGTGTGTGTGTGAGAGAGAGTGTGTGTGTGCGTCTGTGTATGTGTGTGAGAGAGAGCGTGTGTGTGCGTCTGTTTGTGTGTGTGTGAGAGAGAGAGTGTGTGTGCGCGTCTGTGTGGGAGAGAGACTCAGTGTGTGTGTGCGTCTCTGTGTGTGTGTGTATGAGAGAGAGAGAGAGAGAGAGAGAGAGAGAGAGAGAATGTGTGTGTGTGTGTGCTTGGATTACCTGAATTCCTTGGAACTGCGAATGGATGCAGAGTCTCTCCTTGAATTCAGAACTCCACAAATTATACTACCGTTGGTTTAAAAAGAGGAATTCATATAAACTTGATTAACCAATGAAAATCAAACAACACAGACTTAAAAATGCAAGAATTTCTTTCTTTTTTCTCCATATTTCATTCTCTGATGAAACTTTAATAAATGTGAAACACTTCAGATTGATAAACGTTTCTTATTTGTTCTTTATTTTATATATCTTTCTATCTGTCTTCGAAAAAGTTGATTTACTCTATTTATAAGTCAAACAATACTAAAAAAATGCACTTACTTCCTTCATTCGGCAAAAGCCAACACCTCCTTAATAAAAAAAAATTGAATTAGTAGTGTTTGACTTATAAATGGAGAAAATTTTCGTAGGTTATTCTCAACATCGCTTGAAAATGGGACCAAACTTCAAATTTTAATGTTAAAGATTTAATTTTCGATTTCTAAACATAGTAATTTCTGTGTCGCGATGGATACAATTTTTTTAAAAGGTAGTTATAATATGTATATGTATATATATATATAATAGGTATATAGTTATAATAGGTATATATATATATATATATATATATATAATACAGGTAATAATATATATATATATATATATATATATATATATATATATATATATATATATATATTATAAAGAGATAATCATACATTAAATCAATTAGAAATATTAATCGCATTAATGGCGAAATCTCTTCGCTAATAGACTTAATATAAGCATTAAACTACTAACAATACACTGGATGATGCGATCCTTATGTATAAAATTGTTGTCAGATGGATCTAGTGTATTTTTTTTTATAGAAGCAATTACTTTCAAGGACTTCATGTCCTCATCATCAGGCTGTAATTTTTTTTCCTTTAAAAGCAAAACTTGAAGACGAAATAAATGTGTTGTATACCGAAAGATATTTTTTTTAAGTATGTGTTATTTATTAACGGTTATATAATATTGGAACGTGCAAGCCGCAACGCTAAAGTTCAAATATTTCAAGTGAAAATTTTTTCATATCAATTTTGTAATTTGGTAAATCCACGAATTTTTTTGATGTAAGTGTTTACAGTTAAATGACATGAACTAAGTACATAGTTCAATTAATAGAGTGATATGTCTTAGTACTTTTTTCTCCGGAATTTCGTATATATATATATATATATATATATATATATATATATATATATATATATATATGATAAGCAGAACAGAAAAGATTTTCTAACGAACTGTATATATGAAAAATATTTCCATCGGAATCAAATTTATAAAAATTTTTAAGAATACGTTGTGAAAGCGTCGCCCATTTGACGACAACGTGACCACGCTCAAACGGAAAGCTGATCATTTAAAATTTTCATTTATCTTGTTTTGGATAAGACTTGTTTTTATGTCCATCGTTTTCGTCGTGTTATATTGATTATTTTAATTGTATTTTTAATGAATATTGTCCTGAAGAAGGTTATTAAACCGAAACGTCAGGCGTCGACATTTCATTCATATTAAAATCGCATTTTAAGGATTTTTGTTTTGTTTTTCCAGATATTTTCTTCATATATATATATATATATATATATATATATATATATATATATATATATATATATATATATACTGGCTTTAAATCATACAGAGTAGAGGTATTTTATTAGGAAGTCATGCAATACCTTTGAGTATGAATATCTATGGTATGCTCAGATGAGACAGCCACTCTGATGTGCCAAGTAATATGCAGTTTTGTAAATGTGATATGTGTGAAAGCATGCTATTGTCGAGGGCAGGTTATGTAAACCATCTGAAAGGTCATCGTAAGAACCAGAAGCAAACCAAGTGGTGCAATTTGACTTATCGTCTGGCCAACAATACCTGTATTGTTTGCAACTGCATATTACAGATCATCATCTGGACTGAGGATGCCTGTGGTTGTACGCAAAAGAGTTATAGGCCATGAAGATCCAAGCAACGCAATCAATGATAGATTTTATCTGCCATATATATATGAGACATATGAAATCAAATACTGGTCTCGAGGAATCTTAGGAGCCGTGGACGCCGAATCGATCGGTGGCAGTTACAAGTGATGCAAAGGGTGAAAAGGTGGCTCTTATCCGAGTAAGATGTAGCAGTTATCATGTGTATATGCGTGTACCTTGTACGAGATACATACACACTTTAAGTGTATGCACATATGTGACAAACGTAAATTTTAGTTCAAGAAGTAATGTGATACGACACTAAGAAATGGAAAGGGGTGGATAAATAAATACAGGAAAAATAAGTAAAAAGTAGCAAAAAGAAAATATATGTAAAAAAAAAATAGATATATAGGAAACGTAGGAATAAATAACAACTCTGTTGGCGAAGAAAAAAAAACGAAAAAAAAGAATTATGCAGGCAGATCGTAAAAGACAAAACCAGATCCGTTGCTGAATTGTCTAAGATGAAGTTCTTCCCATCAAAACAAAATAATCCACCTTCACCAACATGACGAGAAAAAAATTTGTTGTGTTGGAGGGTGGGGGGTGAGAAACCAACTAAACCTATGAAATATTCTAAAATAAAAGAACTCTTCGTTCTCACACACACCCATGTTAAAAAGTTAAAAAAAAAAAGAAAGAAAAAATCCCGAAGAATGGTGAAAAAATTCTGGAAAAATCTTTTTTTTATTTAGTACCATCATCGGGTTGAGGCTGTCAGGTACCCAACGCGGGATCGTCTCTCATCCATATAGTTACTTTACAAGACGTTCGGGTGGGAGCAGACCCCCATGACGTTAAGACCAGGCTTACCCTTCATTATCGGCCTTCTTCTCATCCCTCGCAGCACTTCAAGCGGCTGGTAGCAATTCAGTTCGCGTTATTTTTATTTATTTATTTCTCTCACAGACCCCTTTTTAACCTTCTAAATTTATTGAACTTTTTATTAATTAATCAGGTTAAAATATTCATTTCATTCATTTAACGTTTTTAATTATTCAATTAAAATATTCATTTATTATTCCAATTATCTTAGATGATTTTAGTTTTGTTATTTTTGCATTTTCACATTTCATATTTCCTTTCTTTCTTTTTTCTTTTTTCTTTCTTTCATCTTTTGTTTCTTTGATTCTATTTTTCTTCTTTCTTTCTTTCTTTCTTTCTTTCATTCGTTCTTTCTTTCATTCTTTCTTTCTTTCTTTCTTCTTTTGTTTCTTTGATTCTATCTTTCTTCTTTCTTTCTTTCTTTCTTTCTTCTTTTGTTTGTTTCTTTGACTCTATCTTTCTTTTTTCTTTCTTTCTTTCTTTCTTTCTTTCATTATTTCTTTCTTTCTTTCTTCTTTTGTTTCTTTGATTCTATCTTTTTCTTTCTTTCTTTCTTTCTTTCTTTCTTCTTTTGTTTGTTTCTTTTACTCTATCTTTCTTCTTTCTTTCTTTCTTTCATTCTTTCTTTCTTTCTTTCTTCTTTTGTTTCTTTGATTCTATCTTTTTCTTTCTTTCTTTCTTTCTTTCTTTTGTTTGTTTCTTTTACTCTATCTTTCGTCTTTCTTTCTTTCTTTCTTTCATTCTTTCTTTCTTTCTTTCTTACTTCTTTCTTTCTTTCTCTCTTTTTTTCTTTCTTTCTTTCTTTTTTTCTTCTTCTGTTACTTTCTGTTCGATATTATATATTCATTCCTATTCCACGATTGACTTTCAATCATTCATTCATTCTTTCTTTCTATTTGGTATTTCTTATTCATTACTGTTTCATATTTGTTCTTTTTTCTTCCTTTCTTTCTTTCTTTCTTT